TAAATCAAACAGAAGGATCTCATCAATCTTTCATAATCGAACCAGAAACCAATCCATCTCAATCTTACGATTCATTTGGATTCTCACTTTAATTTATTCTGAATGGTTTCAATTCTATAATCAAATCTCATCTTGTCAATGGCCTTCAATTCCATCTGATGAATCACAACCTGATATCATTCCAAATCAATTTAATTTACTTATCATTGCTGATCCTCAATTACCTTCGATTCCTTATTCTTATCCAACCAGATCTTATTTACTTCAATTCATTAGTATTCAAATCATCAATCAATTCATTAGAAAGTCTTGGAGATTACTCATTAGGATTAGAAAACCTGATGCGATTGTTTTCTTGGGTGATCTTTTAGATGCTGGTGTGGCTACTACAGATCAATCTGAGTAAGTCAACATTCTTTCAAACCTGATCTCTTTGATCAATCTACACTAAAAACATTCCTACATATTCTAGATATCAATCATATCTCGATACTTTCCGACATACATTTCCAATCCCAAACTCATTATCTGAATCCAATCGAATCATCTATTTAGCGGGTAACCATGATCTTGGATTAGCACCATGGACGAATTCGACTAATTCTAATTTAGTTAGAGAACGCTTTGTTCGTAACTTTCAACCTGGATCACTTTCAGGTCATCTTGAATGGGGAAATCATTCGATAGTTTGGATAGATTCGATTGGATTGATTGAAGAAGATAAACAAAGCAAGAAGAATGGGGATCAAAGTGATCAGGAGAAAGTGGTGGGACCTGTAAAGAGCTTTATTGAAAAGCTTAATGGACGTAGGTTTCTGTGATCTGTTTGTGTGATTTATCCCGTTTATTTTATTTATTTATTAGATCATCAAGAACTTGATTGAGTTGATCTGTTTTCGAAATATCAATTTCAACCAATTTACTGATCATCTTCATTTACCTTTTTCTGAACAATCGAAATTATAGCCGATACACTCTTACCTAAAGTTTTGTTTACTCATGTTCCACTTTGGAGATCAGAAGGAACTTCTTGTGGTTCGTTACGTGAATCAAGACGCGAAATTCATCAAGGTTCAGGTAAGAATTATCAAAATGAGATTTCAGAAGAATTATCGAAATTCGTTTTGGAAAAAATTCAACCTACCATTGTTTTCAGGTTAGTAAAAATAAGGAATCTGTTTTGAAAATTCATTTATTTGAATCTGATCATACATTTTAACTAATGTGTCTTCATTTTTTTGTGGCTCAGTGGTGATGATCATGATTATTGTGATGTAGTTCACACTATACCATCAACATCATACGCTAATCCGTCTCCTTCATCCAATCCATGAAATCTCAGTCAATCATTTTCAATGGGAATGGGTATACAAAGACCAGGATATCAACTCTTATCACTCTCGAATCCGTCCAGATTTGATAAACTACCTGAAAAGGATTCCACCTTTGAAACCTCATGTCTCTTACCCAATCAAATCAAATCATACACTCATCTTTATGTACCATTATTCTTGATCAGTTTGTTGATGATCTTTGGAATGCCGATTTGGAATGTAATGACCTCTCATCGATCTGGTAGGATACGACAACAAGCCAAAACCAATGGATTACCAATCCATCATCGTCATCGGAAATCATTATCAAGAACCTTGATGTTTACGAAAAAACCCATGAGCGTTGGATCTGATTCGTCTTCAGAAGAGAATCGATCAGATGAAGAATCAGGACATCATCGATTGATCTCACAACATTCTAGACAATCGGGTAGTTTAAGTTTAGCCGGTGAAAGAGAAAGTTATCCGTCTGGCTTACTCTTCCAAGAAGGAGGTCTCATCAGTCATCCTAATGGGTTTAATTCGCCTAGTAGTGTGATCAGTTATCATTCTCCGGTCGATTCGGGTCATGAAGATGATCGGATCTCTCATCCTTTACCTAATTTTCAAAATTATCATTCTGGAAGCACAAATTTGAATGAATTCAATGGATCTGCTCAACGAAATAGTGGTAAAGTAAGTGTGATTTAGTTTTCCTAAATTTTGTAGATCTATCATTTGATTGTTTTGGGTTTTTTTTTCCGTTTTGGGTTTGGCTTAGCGTCCTTGTTTACCTAGTAGGTATTCTAATTCAAGTAATTCAGATTTTCATCAACTTGGTACAAGAAGAAACCGATCCTGTGAAATCTTGTTTAAGTTACTTTCAATTTTCATTGGAAAGAAAAGAGTTGAAAGATTAAGAAGTAGTAGGAGGGGAAGTAGGAGTGGAGGTGGTAGTAGAAGTAGAAGAAAAGGTGAGATGGCAAAAGCTTGGAGTCAGTTTTGGAGTTTGGTTTGGATGATCGGATTGGTTTATGGATTGATTTGGTGTTGGTATTGGTGGTGAAAATCAAAAATATTGAAGAAGAAAAAAAGTCAAGTTTATAGGTATCTTTTTGGTTTTGGTTTTGGTTTTGCATTTTTTTTCTTTGGTTGATTGGTTGATGAAGATGGACAAAGGTTTAAAAAGAATCTGGAATTTTTGAAAATTTTATATCTAAGAAGCATTTTTGATGATTATGTACTATTTGGTCCAGGTATGGTATTGCAGATCTGATGATCATGATAAAATTAAGGTGATAATAGTATGAGTCAAAATCACAAACAAGCAGGTATGTCAAAAGTAAGTAAGTTGATTATGTAGTGATAAAGAGACAAGTTTGAATGATCATTTATTTTGCAACACACACAAAGCACCAGAACCATGCATACATGTACACGTCCCCACGCCTAGGATTCGTAATCATCGGGTTCGCAACAGGCCCCGGCCCCGCCGCTGCAGAACTTGAATGATTACGCAAACCACTTGGAGGGGACTGTACAAGTAGACACAGAAAGTTCACGTCACCCCCGGGGCCAGGAACATCACTACACCATATGTAATACACGCAGGGTGGGGCCCCGGGGGTGACGTGAACTTTCTGCGTCTACTTGTACATAGAGATGAAGAAAGATGAGGGCACTATGAATGACTTACCTATGAGTCAAGATCACCAAGAAGCAAGTAAGTAAATTGCTTATGTAGTGACATTACAAAGAGACAAATTCAAATGATGAGGATCAAACTTGTCTGGACTCATATATAGACAGCTTTATATATGAAAAATAATAGTGATGAATTAGTAAAGGAATTTGATTCACAACATCCAAATGTATAAAGAAAGTACAAGAAAAGGAGAAGAAGGTAAGAGGGTCAAGCTTTTTCCCAATGAGTTTTTTTTTGATGATACTACCTGTGAAGGAATGCAGAACTTCCAAGAGGGAGTTTGGGCATTGCAAAATAGGGATAATATTATGGAACTTATATTCACCTCTTGAATGTGATTTTTAGAGTGTTATAAAACCATGTTCAGAGAGTCAGATATCTTGAAATCCATGGGTTTTCTTTGTGCTAATCTGTGTATATTTAGTGGGTTTACTATGTAGAACAATGTGAACAAGACACTGACTTCATTGCCATACTTCCAGCATCTCTCAAAATTTCATATCTTGGTACTTTCATGCAACAAAATAGGATTAATTTGAAAAACAAAGACAGACATTTGGTTCACTCGATAGGCTTCTCTTCTTGAGATCTATCATCTGATCCTCAGAGGAGAAGAATTGAGAATTATAGTTTGAAAACCAAGCTTGAGATCATACCACACTTGCTGTGTAGGGAAAACTTGACATTGTGATCAACAGTTCAAGAGCCTTTACACAGATCTGATCACTTTTACCTTTAAAAAACTCTTTTTCAGAGATCTTGGTTGTGCTTGACAGATGAGGTTTGGATTCTGAACTGTTTTGTTCACTCAGAAATGAGAAAAGGATTATACTTAAAAGGAGACAAATTCTCAAAGGTTTGTGTTCTCATCTTGAAAAACATGCAGTCTTTTTTGTGTCAAGAAAAAAACAAATTCATTTTGAATTGATCATCATCTCTCTTGATAATTTCAAAAAACTCAACTTAAGATTAAGAATTTATTTGGTTTTCAAGAATTGGAAAAAACAGAAAAGTTTTTCATGAGGTTAAAGGTTTTCATGTTTAATTTAGATTTCTCATATCTTTCAGAATCAGTATATATAATAAAGAAGAAAGAAAAAGGTTTGAAGGTATGATGTGAAAGAGATGAGGTTTGTCTTAATTCAAGTCAAGGTTTGAATAAGGAAATTATTGACCAAGATAGAATCCTATCACCAGTAAGAAAACAGGAAAGAGTGTAAGTATAAGAAGGCGAGAGTTTCAAGGTCTTAGGGAAACGGTCAGATCAGAATCAACTAAATCCACTTACGATACGAAAGATATCCGGCAAGAAGAGCCAAGGGTAATAGGTAGCCCATTCCGCCTGATGATTCGTCTTGGTGAGTTTGACCCGTGACAGATTGAGCAGATTTCTTAGCAGTAGGAGGACCCTTGGTTGCATGCTAAAAGAAATGAATTTGAAAGTTTGATTAATACTCCTAATGCAAGTTGAGAATTGGATCGATTGAAAAAAAGGCTTACTTCTTTACAAGTTCCTACAAGATATTGATTCATTAAATTCCTGGCTTCTTCACTATGACCTACATCTTCAAAAGCTTCGGTTGCATCTTTTCCAGATTCACCTAACAAAACTTCATCACCACCTGGATGTTCATCTAAAAATTTTGAAATTGCATAAACTTTTCCATGAATGAGTAAATGTAAATTAGATGAACTTGATAGTGATGATAGTTCTTCGGCTGTGAAATCCTAAAAGATTATCAAAGATCAGTGTTTTTTGGTCTTTGTTCTTGATCGATTGACCATCAAAGGATACGGCTTACTTTTAGTTCTTCTGGTTTTTTTTCTTCAGACATCTTGGAATGTTGAAATGAAGAATTGACGATGATGATGATGATTAAATAGCTACTCGATCATTCACTTCTCTTGATTTACACTCAAAACCAGTCAGAAAGTCAACTTAAGCTATACAGCTTACTTATTATGTACATATCCACGTAGCTATGTATTTAGGCCTCAAGTACGTCTCTTCGACTGGTTGGGGTTTATGTACTTTACAATCCAACTTAGTTGTCGTCCATTGCTTTGATCAACGCTTCGATGATGTACGTAATGGATAAAGGAATTGAAGCAGCTTGGCGCCCCGTTTCACCCCTGTGGCTCCTATAGATTGATAGATAATCACATTGACTTTCATACGGACCAAACTGATGTTTAAAAGGTCTTACTATTCGATCTATTTGTTGGCTGGGTGGGGCAATTTGCAGTAGTGTGCCAGATAGTTGATTGCAGAAGTGAAGATACAAAAGGATAACGTATTCTGATTGGGACATTTGAATTCGATCGAGCCTTGGTTCAACAAATGATGAATATGAGTGAATATATCTCCTCAGCACCTCTGACAGTGACAATGCAGGAATCGCCACAAGTGTCAAGATTGCTCAACAAGCTTTGCTAACTTGACGTGAGTCCCTCAAACCGTGACGTTGGGTTGGTGGGGTTTGTGTTAAGCAAGCAAATTTTGCGCTTCTTTGGGTCCCAAGAAGCAATCATTATGTGTGATAAATGTTTAATTGCGCATCAAAAACCTGGACTTGCATGTGGTCTACCGTCTCCACACCTGTCTGCATAGCTGTTCAACTGAGGAAACATGATGTAGCCAAACTCTCCACAAGATTGGATATCAAAAGTCTGTTTGAACCTCAGCTATGTGACTCTTTGAGCGTAAAGGGGTGTCAATCCCCTTATTTACTTCTCCTCTTTTTAGAATCGTAACGAGGAAATGAGAAGATGGAAAGCCCGAGCTCAACGTTCGAAGCATTCATCGATCCATTTGTCAAGGTTCATGACAATCCTTCCTTTTGGGCCTGTGTGTGAGTGTGCAAACAGAGTTATGAATTAAGAAAAAAATTGAGTCAACTGGGTGATGAAGCAAAACACTGACCATTCAAACATTGAACATTTGGTATCTCTTGATCTGGACCTTTGCAATCATGATCTTTTGGTGATCATAAAACAAAGATATTTGATCAGTTTGTGAAATGTGGAGATCGGAGAAGACAAAGTTCTGATAAATCGAATTGTGTGACGTACCATTACAGATCTGATAAGATAGGAAAGGTATCATCCAAACATCACACATTGTCGAAATATCGTGCATTGAATCACAAAAGCAGACATCAGAAACCTAAGTCTTCAAACAACAATTCAAAGAATGTGGTAAGGTGGATGGGTAGAGTGTCAAAGAAATAAGATGAAAGCTTACATCTGGCAATCGGATCTTCATCTTCTGTGTTCGATCTCCATTATGAATCCAAAAATCAGTCCTCGAATACGCATGACATTTTGTACTACCCTCTAGCATGAGGCCAATGATAAACACTCTTGGGATCCAAAAAATCTTTACTTTTGTTCTTGGTCTCTGCTTCGACATGCACACGAGCGGTAGGAGAGACAAAGAACCGGAAATTACTCGCAGGCCCTGACATCTCACATCCTGCTTTTCTAGTCCATGTGATATTAGCGTGACCGGTGAAGAGACTGCTGTCTTTGGCGTCAGAATTCGCTTCATCTTTCCAACGCCAATACACATGTGCACTCTGAGGTGGGTGTTCCTCTGCGAAGGTTAACTAAGGATATAACAAAGGGGCATCCCTCTGAATTAGTATTGTCAAAAACTTTCAAAAGAAATTCTAGAATTCAAATTAAAACTTGACTTACGCTTGGTAAAAAGATACAGAGACCCAGAACGAGAGTTGCGTGTAAAGAGAACATTGTATGAAAAAGATCTGAAATGTTGGGGTGTGTTGAATAGGCGTTTGAAAGGCAAGGAGAAATAAAGATATCGAAAAGAAGAAGAAAAAGGTAGTCTATGCACAAGTAGAAATTGACGAGATGGGATGTGGATGGGATGTGAGAATCAAAAGGTCATGTTGACTTGATAGCCTGCTTTTTTATTCATCGACTAGGTATACATGTGAGTGATTTATTCCTTTGTATCACTACCAAGATCCTGCGAACTCGTCAAAAATGAAACCTTCAAAATTTTCGGCGGCGACTGGTAACCCATCCCGAGGGGATCAACACTATTGCATCCGTCCCGCAGGCTAGGATACCTCTTGGGCGCCATTCGATTCTTTCAACATTCATTAACACTAACAGATGCAAAAGTGGATGTATGCACAGAAGAAGAAGCAATCCCCTACAGTTTTGGTACCAATGAAAAGGTTCAGTGAGAGAGAAGGACCCTGGCAAAGCTCCGGGTGAATGGGTTATCTAAAATGACTGAGTTTAGCTTTTTTCATACCGAAAAATATATTTTGTCAAAACTTCATACCTCTCAGGTCAATGAGCTTTGGCAGTGTCTGCCTGGGTCCTGAGAGACATGGCAGATAACGTGAAGAGTCAAGACTCTTTAAAGCAAGGGAGCAGTCCAAAAATTTCAATTTCATATCTAATCCTTTCTGTAATCTGATCATCCAGTAGCATCCAGTTCATCAGGATGGGTTAGCGGATCCCGAAACAAAAACGCTATCGCAACGCAACTGCCATTGGCAGCGGAGCGGTCTCGGTACTGCTGCTGGGTGCCAAAAATCGATTATTTTGTGTGAGAAATGTTCAATCGCGCATGAACCCCTGGACGCGGATGTAGTCTGTACGCTATGTAGCTACCTGCATGCCTGTCCAATTCAGGGAGTGCTATGTAGGCCAAATCTTTACGAGATTGGATATCAAAAGCCTCTTTGAGCCTCAGTGATCAGACTTTTTGAGCGTAAAAGGGTAACGATACTCAAGCTCAGTCTTTACAAAGGATGTATAGATGCGCTACTTATTAGAGCTGCAAGGGAGTTTTCATCGATTTCGTAGTTGCTGATTCGTCCTCAAGTTGGAAAGGGGCCTTTCATTTTCTTATTTTTATAGATATCAAGGCGTGCTGCGATTGTCACCCCCTCTCCTCCATTTGCGTATCTCAAGTTCGTCCTTCAATTCATTACATCTTTCACAAGCACCAGATTTGCAGAAGATACCCAGTCTAATTCAATCACTTAACCAATGTCTTATAAAATGGAAAGCTTCACTCTCGACGATCAACTCATGGCAGGACAATGTGAGTGTCTTGATATCCTTTGTCTTTTACAAGGAAGTAGCATTCTGAAATCAATATTGCGGTCACAGTTGCAACAACTCACCGAAAGTCGGTTTCAGAAAGCAAGTTGCTCGAAGCACCCGAAACGCCCATGTTTAGAGTCGAATCATCCATCAATGTCAATTCGACTTTCACACCTCGGACTCCAACTAATAGACCCAATTCATATACTTTTGCTCAGCTTTTCACTCCTACTCAAAGACCAAAGAGCGAAAGAGAGTTATATGCGAACTTCTTTACTAGACTTGAATCTCATCAAGTTCAATTACTTCGAGACCGACGCAGATGGACATCTTTAACTCCTCAATCTCGTGTGTAGTAATGGATAGCGCGAATATGATGGTTAAATTTACTTTACTTTACTTTCATTTCATAACTTTTGGTTTAGTATGTTTCTTCGAGTCCCATGGGTTTTCGTATAGGGATTAACCCGGATTTGGTCTTTCTCTTTTGCCTGCGATGGCCTGGTATTTTCATACCATCTTTCAACTTCATATGATACCTAAGATACGGTCCAGTATATCATTATCTTATAGTTTTTGTAAAACTCCGTTCTCTTTTGAACTCACTTGTAGGCCTATCAGGTTGAACTTGTAGATATTTGTTTTCCCATCTGGATGGTATTTGATCTCCAGTACTTTTGTTATGCGAATTTTGTCAGTCCCTCGTTTTGTTTTTTGGATGGTTCATTTTCAGAGGCTAAAAAGGATCCACGGAGTGAAAGTGTCCTTCATACGGAGTGGAATCCGTAGTTGATATATAAAAAATCGCTGGAATCTCTCACTTTTTATGGAAGGGATGCTCTGACAATTTTGGCTCGTGAATTCACATCGCACTTCACCTTGTGCTCCCTCCTGAGCCCTATAGTATCATACCTCTTCCTGCCTTCAATCGAGTTCGAAGAGTACAAAACCTCTTTGAAATTTTCTAGGGACTGATCGAGATGAAATACAACGAGTTTTTGTTGTACGTTTAGAGGTCTTTGGAGTTGACCTTCATCTGGTAAGTTCAGATGGATGGGTTCATCTTGACAACTTCACAAATGTTATAGGCTGCCATAAACGGTGTCCTTGAACGGCCTGTCACATCAAATTTGATAGGATCTGATGTCTTGAAAACCACGTCGCTTTATCCCTTTCAAAACGTGAGTCTATGTGAGAGGTAGTCAGCTAACCTACTACAGTAAATTTCAAAAGGCTTGAAATCAGAAAACTCAAAAAATCACAAGCTGGCCCGTGCGCGGCGCAGCACCGGCCAAATTTCAAGTGGCCGGACTGTCAACTAACCCATCACGCCACCGATGATCTGCAGAACATCGATCATCTTTCTGGTTTTTTTTTTTTTTTGAACTTTCTTTAGACTTGTATTTTCTGGTTGGGGTGAACCCTATCGACACCCTTTCCGTTCATCCCTCTCATCGGGTAATGCTCTGTGATTCCTATCCCAAATTGTCTTTCTGCTTCCTACCCTGTCCTACCATCCGTTTTACCCTCAAAATGGGTTTTGTCGCTTATTCGGAACAAATCAAGCGCTTGGCTACTCAGTTGGCACTCGAGGACGTCCCCCTTATCAAAATCAACTTGCGCTTACGAACTTCCATTTCTGATATTTCGCTTTATCAATGGAAAAAGCTTTTCCTTCTCACCAATCGTGTCATTAAGGATCCGGCGACTTACGAACCCATCGGTCGACCACATGCTTTGTCCAATGAACATCTGGCCATTCTCTACGACCTCGTCACTGATCAGCCCTCAGTCTATTTGGATGAATTGCAAAAGGACCTGCGGGAATTGACTGGTCTAGACGTATCTCGGTCAACTATAACTTGTGAGATCCACCACCGTTTAGGAATGTCTCTCTTAGTCACTCGAGGTGTTCATCCCAATCAGTCCTTGGAAGAAAGGACTGATTTTATGCTTCGGGTGGCTGGAATCCCGCCGGAATGCTTTGTATTTATTGGTGCGTCATATATAGTTCCTCTATTTTCTGTCTCCTAAGTGATTACTAACGTCTGATTTGACTTTCAGATGAAAGCGGAGTAGTCGGACGCGACACATCTCGAAAACGTAGTTACGCCAAGCGAGGATCTCAAACCGTGCGTGAAAAGCGACCAACCGAACGCTCTCATTGGACGTTACTTCCAGCGGTTAGTGAGCAAGGAATGATAGCGGGCACTGTCATTGAAGGGCCGGTGCGCAGGATTGATGTCGAGCTCTTCCTCAGACATGATTTGGTAAGCTGCTCTCTCATTTCAATGCTCATCTTTCTTGAGTTTGCTTGACATCTCTTTCCTCCATCTGATTTATAGCTTCCTATTATGAACCCTTATCCTGCTCGTAACTCAGTGTTGATCATGGACAACGCCCGAGTTCATCACGGTGGACGAATACTCAAGCTTTGTCGACGCGCAGGGGTCCTAGTCATCTACCTACCTGCATATTCTCCTGATATGAATCCCATTGAAGTTGGCTTCCATTGTATGAAGGCCCGTTTGAAACAAGAACAGCAATGGTTTTTTGAAGACGATAAGGCTGAATACTTACTTTTGCTGGCCGGTCGCGTCATGACTCGATCGGTATTGCAACCACTGATTGCACACAGTGGCTACACCACTCGTCATTATTGGACCCGATACAATGCTCGATTTGACAACGATGAGGAAGATTAGTGTAATGATGCACTACTCGCATCATCACAAACAGTTAATACAGGTATTAGACATAGGTAGCCTTAGACTTAACACTTATCAAATTCATATATCCTTCAACCGCCACGTTGTTGTACTGGCTCCTTAGGGAACTTCGAGACTGATCTCGTATGATATTCCTTTGGAGTCAGGTGAGCACAATTCTTTATTTCATTTATATTATTTCTTTCATGTTATCATTGTATAGTCCTGAGGGAACTTCAAGACTGATCTTGTATGATATTCCTTTGGAGTCAGGTGAGCACAATTCTTTATTTCATTTATATTATTTCTTTCATGTTATCATTGTATAGTCCTGAGGGAACTTCGAGACTGATCTTGTATGATATTCCTTTGGAGTCAGATCTAGAAATACATCACTATCATACCTTGGTTCTAGACTTCCAAAGCCCACTACGGTGGCAATTGATCAGTTTCCCCTCCGAAGTTAAATTGACTTCAAGTGAGGACACACGTCCTTTACACTTTTTTTTTCTCGAACCATTACCGGTTTTGATTACTTCAGACTACTTCAGAAGAACACAGTTCTTAAACGCACCCCGGATTTTCAAAGATCGAAACCTTCTTACGATCTCCCGATTAAACCTTATCTTATTTTTATACTTCTTGATCTCATTCATATGACCCCGCCAGCTTCGACTCGCAGCGATTCTACTGTACTCACACCTTGGGTAGACGATCCGGAGTCTATAGTTAGAAGATCGAATACTGTACCACAACAATTCCAACACCGGTCTGTCGAAGAGCTAGGAAGGTACACTCACGATAAAGTTCTATCAGCGAGTATCGTGTTGAGACCGATCCCAGCATTGGCTAAACCCTACATCCCAGCGGTACATTCCTTGCCCTTCCGAGCTTCTTCATTACCTGGAAGCTTTCCTACTTCGCCACTGTCTACTCGACGTTCTCCCTTATCCCTTTTGCAACGGGAAGAACACCACCTCCACCGAGACCTGAATATTGGTCCTGTCTCTTCTCCTTCTCAATCTCCGATTCCGAAAGCCGAAACTATGATTGGACGGTCGGATGAAGCGTCCCCGGCTCCTCCATCAACCAATGAGCTGTTACGTGCAATGATCATGGCACAGACAGCAGGAATCAAGGCTGCAAGTGAGGCAGCAGAGCGTCAAGCTCGATTGGACGAAGAGTGGGCGATGGCAGCACAAGAGGCAGCTGACCGCATTGCCGGATTGGAAGAAAAATTACTCAAGTTGCAAATGAACGCACCTGCTCAATCCCGATCTTCTACGACCGACGAGGGGAATTCCCGAGGACTTGATCTTGCCAAATTCAAGTCGTCGGAGGGGCCACAATTCAAAGGGCCTTACCGAGACACGGAGGCTTTCTTGAAGTGGTTCACGTCGTTAAATTTTTTTTTTTCTGGTCAAGAAGATCGACAAAGATGAGGATCGAATCATACTCACGGGTTCTTACTTATTGGAGACCAATCTTCAAGCCTTTTGGGCACACAACATCGATAACTTCTGCAAGATGCCGTGGGCCGACTTCAAAGAAAAGCTCTTCCGAGCTGCATTGCCATCTGATTGGAACGATAAATTACGGGAGAAGATTCTCACCTTGAAAATGTCGATCAATGAGGATTTTTGTTTTTACTGCACTAGATCCCGTTCTATTCAATCCCTTATGAACCACGACCAACTCGAGATCGATGACTTTACCCTAGCTACTCACATGATGTTGGGGATGTTACCAGAGCTGAAATCAACCTTACGCTTAGATGGTCCCTTGAAGAGGGAAGGTTTTGATTTCATACGATTCGAGGAACGTTGTGACCTGGTATATGAATATTTGGTTGTGAAAAAGATCATCAACCGTTGACCTACACCCACGACCAATCCTAGAGCACCCTACAATCGTAACATGCCTCAACCAACTGCTGGTCAATCCACAAACTCAGGGGATTCTGAAGAAGATCGTAAACAGGCCTTTTACTGGAAGATAAATTCTTACTTAGATTCACAAGGTCTTTGCCGTTTTTGCAAGAAACACTGCGGGAGCGAATACAAGCAATGTACTGGTACTTTCTCCAAAGAAAGGATTAACTTTCCTCCTGGCTACGTTGCACCTCCGAAACCTCCAAACTACGTTCCTCCGCGGGCTCGGTCAGCAAACACTGCGGGACGACCTACCCATCCTCCAGCAGGTCGATCATCTAAGCCTCAAGTGGCAGCAGTGACCTTCCCCAAATATGATTCTGCTACCATCGCAGCGTACGAAGAGGTAGACCGTGAACTTCGTGAGATTAATGAGGATTCAGGAGATGCATCGGACCCCTTGGCTGAAGGGTATGTGGACCACCCCACCTCACAACGTACGGTCATTTTGGAGCTAACGTGTAACGGGAAAACATTCCGGGCTTTGGCTGATGCAGGGTCAGAGACGAACTTGATGTCTGAAAAGATGGTTGACACGTTAGGACTAAAACGACGCAAGCTAGTTACGCCAACAATTGTGGGGTTAGCGCTTGACTCTAATGGTCAACCACCGATGCTTACGGAGTTCACAACGGCATCCTTGAGGCATACATCTTCGAAATCAACATTTGATCGTGTCTACATGAAAATTGGGAATCTCAGTAGTTCTTATGATATGATCCTGGGTGCCCCATTTCTCTGCCATCATCAATTGTCTGTTTCGTGTTCCAAGAAAGCTGTAGTCAGTGAAGTGTCGGGTGAATTATTATTTGATTATCGTCATGAAATAAAATTGAAAAAAGAGTTTGAAGAAGAATGTGTTGATAAGATGGCTTCGTTAGCTGAGAACCGTGAGAGTGAGAAGTGGAAGGACTGGGAGAAGACGCTGAAGCTGAAGAATGAACCTTACCGTAGTGTTGAGCCAGTCACGTGGAAGATCCTTGAGGAGGCTTTGCTCGCGGAATTTGATGATATCTTCCCAACGGATATACCGGCTATCTCTGATGAAGCGGAGGAGAAAGGCGAGTTTGTTGATGGCACTTTCCCTGAAAAACTTCAACATCCATCCTCTCAAGTGAGACATAAAATAGTCTTGACAAATCCGAATGCG